TGAAAATAATTTCTTAACAATTAATAGTCATTGTTTACAAATGTTTACTCAAAAGATGTAAATTGCATCTTTATTTTTGTACAATGAGTTTTTTCATAGATACTCATTGTCTCCCTTCGTCCCGTTAAGATTCTCTATTCTTTCTCTTTAGGTCCGTCCCTCTAATTAACACTGTCTCATACAAAATTAGGTAACGTTTGTGTGGTTTTAAATCGTTCTTACTTTATTCTTACTTTATCAATTCAATGTCAACCACATAAACTCATTATTCTTAATAATCGTGTCACCACCTCATGTCCCAATGTTAGTGGGACGTAGGTAATACAATGTAACGGTTATCAAATTTTAGTATAACAATGATTTAATAATATTTTAAAGGAAAAATTGATAGTAATAATCCCAACTATTGGCGGTCCGCCCATAATAATCCCAAGTATTGATTATTTCAGAATAATCCCAACTTTAGGGACCTTCCGCCAATAATAGTCCCTATAAATAAATTCTTGTAGTTTTTAAAGTGGATGAGAAGAGATATAGCAAGTAATCCTTATAAATAATCCTAACTTTTAATTGTTACACTTAATTTCTATTTAAAAATCACTTGTTGTAGGAGGTAATATCTGGTCATGGACCATTATTGGCGGACGGTCCATATAGTTGGGATTATACAAAAATAATCAATAGTTGGGATTATCATTGGCGGACCGGCAATAGTTAGGATTATTATTTTCAATTTTTACTATTTTAAACTAAACTTATCACAAGTATTGTGTGCTTAGTATTTTAGTTTCTTATATTTAGAATTTGGGTGATCAAATGAGAATGCAATCTATGAAGAGAATTTGAATGAACCGGAACGATAATTGCTTGTAGATGAGCCAAGACTCGGTGGAGGAGTTTTGGGAGATCAACAGATTTTTCTTTGTGTTTAATTGCTTATAAATGTTAGGGTGAGATAATTGTCATTATGATGCCACATGTTCAATTTTTGTTACAAAGGGTTGCCACATGTCAATTGTTCTTGCAAAGGAGCTGCCACATGTCAAAATTCCTTCATAGGCTTTTTCCAAGGGTTTCCTTTATTAAATTATATAGATAACTTGGAATAGCATGTCATTAACCGGTCAGGGACCAGCGAATGAAGATGAGGTGCAAAGTTTGGATTATTCTTGAATAACGAAAAGGTTGAACTATTGTAATAAAACTTCTAAAAGGTTGAATTATTACTTTCCATTTTTCCTTAAAATTAATGAAATTGTAATTTCCTTTGTTTGTTTTTGTTTTCTCTGTCACATTCTTTTCCGTGGTACCCAGATACGAAAATGTTAAGATTGGTATTTCATCCTAAAAAGTCAAGAGATGAGTGATTCAGGGTCTGTTTGCAACTGCTTTTAAAAAAGCACTTCTCAGCTTTTGGCTTTAAAAAAACACTTATTTTCTCAAACACTACAACTTTTATTTTTCTCGACTTCCGCGTCAAAAGTGCTTTTACTTTTTCTATTACACAAAAAGCACTTATTTTACCAAACACTACCCACTTTTACTTTTCAAAATCACTTTTTTCTCAAACACTATCAACTTTTATTTAATCACTTATCCCCATTTCATTAAAAAAAGCACTTTTTTAAAAGCAGAAGCTGTTGAAAAGAGACCCTCAATCTTAAAAAGTAGGAGTATGTGAGAATTGAACAAATAAGAAAAAGAAATAAGAAACCAGAAAATAAAATTAGCCCATCAAGATAGCGTCGTGTGTGGCTGGCACATCACAGCTGGCTCTACCCTCACCGCACTCAAATCCAAATTGATTGAAACCAGAAAATTCACCCATGCTGGAATCCTAGATGGCTGGATCCCTCCAAGTACTAACTACCGAGTATTAAAAAATACCCCGTATCTCCCAACAAATTCTTCATCTTAACTTCAAATTTTGAAGTATGAGTTCAATTTTCATCGCTTTCTAAACTTGGGGAAAGGAAAGCAACTCTCAAAATTTAATTTGAACTACATGGTACTCCATATATTTTAAGGTCTTACATTGTACTCCCTTTGTTCCGCTATGATTGTCTCACTTTACCTTTTTTGTTCGTCCCACTAAGATTGTCTCATACTTTATTTTGGTAAAGTTTGTGTGGTTCTAAATCATTCATACTTTATTATTACTTTATCAATTCAATATCAACCACATAAACTCACTTTTGTTAATAACTGTGTCACCTTCTCTTGTTCCAAACTTAGGGGGACGGAGGTAGTATTTAACTTATTAAACGTATTGTCTAAATCCAATCTCCATTCTAGCTTGGACCATTGACTATATTTCGTGCATACATTGTCGTCCATTTTTAGGAAAAATTGAAAACAATAATCCCAACTATTGATGGTTCGCTCAAAATAATCCCAACTATTGATTATTTTTGTATAATCTCAACTATATAGACTGTCCGCCAATAATGGTCCATGATCAGATATTACCTCTATAAAAAGTGAATTTTAAATAGAAATTAAGCGTAAAAATTAAAAGTTGAGATTATTTATAGGGATTACTTGTTATATCTCATCTCATCCACTTTAGAAACTACAAGAATTTATTCATAGTGACCATTATTGGCGGAAGGTCCCTAAAGTTGGGATTATTCTGGATTAATTAATAGTTGGGATTATTATGAGCGAACCATCAATAGTTGAGATTATTACTATCAATTTTCCCCATTTTTATCAATTTTTTAGTAATATTCTTTGTTACGTATTCATAACTATGAACCACACCGCATTACTTAAGTCGGTTTCATTCCTTTTTATCAATTTCAGTCGGTTTAAAAACTTAATACTACCTCCGTTCTTAAATAAATGCAATGGTCAACATTTCACACTTATCGAGACACAATTTTGACCATTAATATAAATGATTTTGTATTAGTAAAGAAATTAAAAAAATTAGATTATGAAAATTTACAATGAGACAAGTTTAACAATATTTTTTTCATAAAATAATATTATTACATTAATAAATAAAACATAGTCAAAGTAGAACATGTGAATAGTGTAAAAGTCAAAGTCTTGCATTTATTAAAGAACGGAGGTAGTACTACGTATGTAAATTCTAAATGTTAATTAGAAGCAAAAATTTGTCAAATAATTTTTTTTTCAGCAAGCAACCTTTAAAATCCATTCATTTGGGAGGAGTATCAAGTCCACCCACCATCCTTATTTAAAAGTCTCACACTCTTTTACATACATATTAAGAAAATGAAACCATTTGACATTGTTTAACACTATTTTTACAATGTTTTGTTACCAAATAAGGAAAATGGACTATTTTAGGAACGACCCAGGTATGGTAAAACCGAGATTATATACATCATTTCGTGCATACATTGTACAATAACAATTAAACGCATAAAATATGTTTATTTAGAGGCATAGAAAATACGTAAAAACTATATTTTTGTAGTCACTTTTACACACATCGATTTTTTTTTCATTATAAATAAAAAAATCTTATAGACGTGTGTAAAAGTTAATAGAATAACAGAGTAGTATTTATTATGGAAAATTCCTTTTGTACACGGCAGTTTTACACGCCGATTAAATTGTCGGTGTACAGACAATCTGACCTGCGGTTTATGAAGAAGACCGATTTCCACTCAGACAAAATAAAAAAAATGTGTGTAACAGACATTTTAAAATTCTCGTTTAAAGTTGTTTGTATCACTGACACAGAGCCGGCTATGGGGGCAGGAAGCCTAGACAAGTGTCTAGGGCCTCCAAAATTTAGGGGTCTCTCATTTTTAAAATAAACCCATTAGTATAGCAAATCTGCAGAAGGCCCTGCTCGACTTGGACGAAGGCGGAAGCTCAAAGGTCAAGGGTGGAAGCACACGACTACCTTTTTTTAGAAGACCGACAAACACACAGCGGCAATCCCTTCCCCCTTCACGGCTAACGGCTTCACCTCTTGCCGGCTTGGCCCATTCCGCAATCCCCAATCGGCCTAAGAGTAATAGGTCTTAAGTCTTTAAAGATCGGAAGGATCTTTAGTGTTACTACTCCGTACGTTTTATTGTTTATGAGTACATCTTTTAGTTTTCTAAAAGCCCGTTTGGTAGCACGAAAATCGGCTGATTTGGTTGATTCTGCTGAAATTTATGAAGTTCTGGTTGAAGTAGCTGTATTGGCTGATTCTGCTGATTTAAGAAAAAATTATTTTTAAAATATATTTTATTAATAAAATAAAGAAAATATTATATGTAAAAATAGCTAAAATGGTCATCTACAGTAACTTCAGCCAATACGGCCATAAAAGTAACTTCAACCTTACTTTTTCTGCTTATTACACAATTCAGCGCGCGAAAGCAAAAATTACGTGTTTGGTGAAAAAGTTGGCTGATAAGCCTGATAAGCCGAAAAACAGTGTTGCCAAACGGCCTCTAAATTGTTAGTGGGTTGACTTGGCTTGGGCATTAAGGGCTTATGGATTTATGGTAAATTATAAGTATCTTGATATATTGAAATTGTATTTTCTGATTTTGATCGACAGATATATTGAAGATTAATAATCTCTTATACACAATTAAAAATAGTGGATTCAATTTTAATTTATGAATAACTTATTTAGTACAGAGTACTACGTATTATTTTTAATAAATTGTAGGATTTTTGATGACGGGAAAACGAAAGCATGATTCGAGATGTACAAAGAGAAAGGACACATTAAGAAATGATTTAGTTATAAAATTGCTACTGGCTCTATGGAGATTGAGAATGAGCGTGACCGCGTGAGGATGTATTTTTGATCATTTTTTAATCTTTCGCAAAAGAAGAAGAATATTCTCATTACGTTAAAAGTACTATATCAATTATGTCATATGTAATTTACATCTATGTAACGGATATTCTATTTTTTTTATTATGCTGAAAAAAATATTTACTTAAAATGTCGATATGATTGTCTAGGGCCTCATATTTGCTCTAGACGGCCCTGCACTGACATTATATGTGACTATCACTCATGTCACATGTATACCGTGAGATTGGAGAAGGTCTGAGCCATTCTCTAGACGAAGTTGGACTCATTTATTACTCCGTATTATGCACGAGAAAAGAGTGAGTAATCGGGAGGAATCATGCAAGCTAGCAAGGAGCAAAAGAGGGCTCCGCTTTTTAAACCAAATCGCAATGATGCTAGCTGTAAGCTACAGTGACCAGCTGTAACGCACCACGTGCTCATCAACCATTGGCTCCCACGTTGGCTGAGCCTTATCCAGCACTGACTAATTGCGCTACCCGGCCCACCACATCGGGACCCGCTTTCAATCCAGCGAAGCCAAACCTGTCAACGGCTATAATATTCGAAATCCGAGTTATCCTCAGTCCTACGTGGCACTCGGCAGTCTGACATGGCACTCAGGCTTCCTCACGAAGCCAGTCGCTCCCAGCTGGCCCATAAATACCCACTCCACACCGCAGATCTTGGAACAGAAGAGAAGACTGTCGTAGAAATTTCCGGCAATACTAAAATGGCTATCCCGGTTTCAACGGCGGCGGGTCTCCGCCTTCTCTCGGTGCTCAGCTTTGGGTTTTTAGTGTTGGGTTTAGCGGCCAAATCGCCGGCAAGGTTTGACGAGCTCTTTCAGCCTACCTCCCAGGCGGACCATTTACTCATTGACGGAGATGTCCTCCACATGAAGCTGGACAACCTTTCCGGTACTTCCATCTACCAATTCTGCTTCAAGTTTCAACTTTTTCGTGATTTCATTGGGATAATGTTATATTGTTTTGAATTTCAGGTGCTGGGTTTCAATCGAAGAGTAAATATATGTTCGGGAAAGTCTCGGCGAAGATCAAGCTGGTGGAGGGAGACTCCGCCGGAACAGTCACCGCCTTCTATGTAAGAGCTCTGTTCCTTTAATTTTCCCCGAATTAATTGAAAATCAAGATCGGATTTTGAATTGATTGATACTTGTAATGACGGGTTAATTTTCGGATATGCAGATGTCATCAGACGGGGCGAAGCACCATGAATTCGATTTCGAGTTCCTGGGGAACACCTCCGGCGAGCCGTATCTGGTTCAGACGAATGTGTACGTCAACGGCGTCGGAAACAGGGAAGAAAGGGTGAACCTCTGGTTTGACCCCACGAAGGACTTCCATTCCTATTCACTGATGTGGACTACCAGGAAAGTAATGTGAGTGCTCCAATTCCCCAAAACATTATTGAGGAATTTAAAACTGTGCAGAGATGGGTGTTGGTTTAGAATTATTAGCTGTGGGGCTAAAGTTCAGAGTTTCATTTAGCAAACGTGACTCCATTCATTGTGTCCTTTAAGAGCTAATGTCCAAAAGCCCCCAAAGAACAAGGGTAGGTATCATCTTTTTTTCAAATGAGTATCCTCTATATACTGAACAAGAAATTCCTTGATTAGGAGTAAAATGGGACTAAATTTTTTATTCTCAAAATGATACTCCATACTTGTTTCTAAGAAAGTATAAAACTTTCTCTCTTTTTATGCATCTTTAGTGCACCCTGTCTCTGTTTTTACTCCCAAGAATAACCTTGTCTCTGTTTTCACTCTCAATAGAAATATACTTGTATGTATATGTATATATTTCGTCCCTTTTAAGGAATTATTCCTAAAATTCTAAGTAAATTGGCAAATTTAATGTGATATGTAATCATAACTGATAATTAATTTGATGGACTAGGTTCTTAGTGGATGGAACGCCAATTCGAGTCCACTCAAACATGGAGGACAAGGGAATTCCATTCCCAGGAGACCAAGCCATGGGTGTGTATAGCTCACTCTGGAACGCTGATGATTGGGCCACACAAGGCGGTAAGGTGAAGACCGACTGGACCCACGCCCCCTTTGTAGCCTCCTACACTGACTTCGAAATCGATGCGTGTGAAGTTCCGGCCGCCGTGGCCCCGGTGGATCACGGCAAGGAGTGCAGCAGTAGCGCCGAGAAGCGGTTTTGGTGGGACGAGCCGACGATGGCGGAGATGAACGTTCACCAGAGCCACCAGCTCCTCTGGGTTAGGGCAAACCATATGGTTTATAATTATTGTACCGACACGGCCAGGTTCCCGGTGGCTCCGGTGGAGTGTGAGCACCACCGCCACTTCTACCACCGCAACTAATTTTACCATGATGGTAAAATAAAAGGCACAAGGGTATGGTCGGGTGGTTCTGTCGACATGTTCTCCATGTTACATATTTTTGCTTATTAATCTAGTAGGCTAATTAATGTCACACTTTGTATGTAAACTACTACTCACTTTGTTCTCTTATCAATGCAGTTCATTTCTCTTGGATAAACTTTTTCAACTTAATTACTTGAGTGTCCGATTAGCTTTTTAATAACAATGCTTAGGTGACACACTATTCATACACTTCGAAATTCTTGAGACATGATTTTCATATGACTTAATTTGACAGCCAAATGTCATTTTCTAACTTTTTGTTTGTCAATATATTTATTTATAAATATTTAATGCCAATGCATTTTATTTTAAATTCTAAGTATATAAATATAAGTATTGTATCTTTTTTTAATCAAAAAAATATAAGTATGTATCTTTTTTAGTTTGCCAACCTTGATTTTTTCAGTCAATGATGATAAACTTAAATCTATTATTTTAACTAATATATTTATGTAAAAGTTAATAAATTTATACTTTTAAGATAGTATTTTTAACAAAGAACATTTTCATATAATTTTTTTATTATCAATATTACCGTGTATAAATATATAATCGGTCAATGTTGAATAACTTTGACTTGAAAATTTGTGTTTAGCAATCTAAAAAGGAATGGAGGGAGTAATTGGTTTGGTTGGATGAATTGGTGGAAATTCATAAAATCCTCGATTTAAAGTGGTTGAATTGGCGGAAAAGGAAATTGTTAACTTGTAAAAAAGTATAGTTACGATCTACTCCATATGTAGTTAATAAAATAAAATAAAATAATGTGAAAAATAATTAAAATCATCATCTAAGTGATAATTTGATGAGAAATGTAACTGAGACTTGTAGTAGATAGATGTGATGAGACTTCAAGCATGAAACATAGACTACGTTTACTAATTGAGAGGGTTAAACGAAATGGATGCGAGTGTAGTGAGATTGTGAGAAAAAAATTGCTACCCCATTCACTATTCGATCACACCCTTTGGGCTTTGGGATTGGTCTTTACCTATTGGGTTTGCTATGTCATTCACGATTTGGTCACACGTTTTTGGATTCGTCTTTACCCATTTGCTTTGGATTGTTCGTAATGTGACTAATGTCTATTTCCATTTCTTGGTTTCCTTCTTTTTGTGTCCAGCCTTGCTATGAAAGCATTTTATAGATTATTGTTTTAGAGAGAACCATGAACTAGAGATATTAGTGATACTCCCTCCCTATTTAAAAGATCTCCACATTCGGTATTGATACAAGATTTAGAGCCCGTTTGGTAGCACGAAAATCGGCTGATTTGGCTAGTGTAGAAAAAGTATGAGAGAAAGTAAAACGGTAGGAAAGACAAGATAAAAAGTAGAAAAAGTAAGTGTAATTGAGTATTTTTAAAGGAAAAACTTACCAAATAGGAAAAATGTAACAAACTTTTAAATACATCCCAAATAAGAAAATATAGCAAACTTTTAAATACAGAGGGAGTATTATAAATTATATTTCCAACCCTTTTTTGAAAATAGTCTTCGATAATGGCGTCGTTCATTGCGTTGTAACGAATCAAAGATTTTCATATGCTTTCGTTCTTTTTTATTAGGCTAAAGAGTCAAATAGCCCCTTGAACTGACTTAAAGTGTTCAATTAGCCCCCTTATATAGGAGTTTTTGCCCGGCCGTCGCCAATTGGGGTGGTTCCCGGTGGAATTTTTTGATGAAATTTTTTGAGCATCTTCTTCATTAAGTCTAGTTTACTCATACCAAATCTCAGCTAAAAATTCAACCGGGAAGACAGTGAAATGGTTTTTTGAAGATAACTGTGAAGTTAAACAGCGCAGTACATTTCGGAAAATCATTTGACTGCCTTCCCGGTTGAATTTTTAGCTCAAATTTGGTATGGGTAAACTAGACTTAATGAAGAAGATGTTCAAAACATTTCATCAAAAAATTCCACCGGGAACCGCCCCAATTAGCAACGGCCGGGCAGAACCTCTATATAAGGGGCTGATTGAACACTTTAAGTCAGTTCAAGGGCCCATTTGACCCTTTAGCCTTTTTATTATTCAGAAATTGCCCTAAATAGGAGTAAAAACGTTTTGAAATTCCAAAATAGAACTATCATGTTTTTTATTTCCTGAATAGGAGTAATCTGCCAAGTTTGGAAAAAATGCCATGTTCAAAACCTAATAATGCCAAACTTGGCAGAAATTTACTCCTATATAGGGAATAAAAAACATGATAGTCCTATTTTTGAATTCTAAAATGTTTTTACTCCTAGTTAGAAAATTCTCTTTTTTAGTCCTACCTTTTAGGATTCTGGTTTTGATTTGGCTTCTTCTTTGTCTGAAATTTTTGTCCGCTTCATGTGAGTGTGAGATACGTCTTCTCCTATCAATGTCTAGAGACTTAGTATTCCTCGTCTGTGAAACCGTTCGAGTGGTGAATGAGCCATCATTTACCCATCTTCCTCTTAAACCACCGCCCCACGTACTCACAGATAAATTAGCTCTCAAATAAATATCCTTTAGTTTGCTCATTGATGATCGATTAAGTTTCCTTCATTGATTGTTGGTCAAATCAATTTTTCCTTTCATGTGGCTTGTGAACATAGACCTTTTTGTAATTTTTTAGTTTTTCTTTGGGTAACAAGTTTAACAAGATTTGTTAGACTTGACTATATTAATGCGGAATTAGGGATTTGTAAAGATTCATGAGATATTTTTCATTCCTTATATTATCTTATTGTAGCCTTAGATTATTAATTAACTTATTTCCATGCTATCCTTTAATGAATAAATTTGTTATTTGATTTTAAAAAAAATTATTATGACTAAGTTACTGCAATAGTCACTATACTTAAGATGTCACATTTTTGTAAATAACATTTATTTTAAAACATTGTTCTGTTATGAATTGATGTATTTTTGTAAATTGTCAAATACTAAATCCTTGAATGTGTCGAATTATTACTAGTAATCCTAGTTAGTTTTATTTGCGTTTTAATCGCGTTTTAAACACATCACGATTTTTTGACTAAAATAACATGTTGAAACGAAAAATAATGTCGGTCCATTTAAAAGGGAAAAAAACTTTTACTTCCCGTATAAAATGTATTTTTCCCGTATTTTATAAAAAAATAGATACATGAATTGACCAATTGAAAGAATGCATTAGATGCATAGGAGATAAACAATAGTTTAAAAGTAAAAATGAAAACTTCCTCTCCGTGATCAAGTGTTTTTGTATGGTCACAATGCAATGCAAATATTAAATACTAAAGTTAATTGCATGGCAAGTTGGCAACTAAAGCTAGCATCCTAAAAGCCTTAAACTTAAAATAGTAATACTAGATTTTTTTATATTTTTTCAAACAAGCATATCAAAATTAAGGTTTTTCTTAACCTGACATTTTTTAGTATAAACTTATACACATAAACAATAACAAGCATAGCAGTCGCACAACTTTTCTCATATGTCATCTGTCATCTTGATGAAAATGGTGAGTTTATTTAAGTGTTATTTAATGATCATATAATTAAAGATAATGATTTTAATTAACTTGGTCCCAATAAAAAAAAATAACTTAGTCTCATTCTATTGTGATCATACCTTATTTTTTTGACATTATTTTGCAAAACTATGTCCTGGATTTAATTACTATTTTTGTTTTTGTGATCGACTTATGCAATCACAAATTATTCTTTTATGTAGTAATGAGATTTGCTACTTGAATATGTGTGCACTTTTATTTCTTCTTACTATATACTCCGTATGTTATTTTGTAAAATATATAATTTAAATGTTCAGAAAAATACCCGTTTTTTGTCCGAATTTTTGTAACAGATAACGTATTTTACACGTATACATATTTACACGTTTTGTAAAAGTCAACGTTTTTCTCAACGAATTTTTGATCGTTTTCTTCATTCATGTTACCGTATAAAACATGTACGTATTAAACCTCGTTTAATTCCCGTACCGTATTTAACTAAATAGGCTAGTAATGTTTGGTTATGTACCTATGCATTTTATGTTTTTAATAATCATTTTTATGTGGAATACAGCAAAATGAGGAGAATGTTAGACGAAACGTTCCAAAGTTTAAACGGTTCGATGTTTTTTTTTTACAAAATTGCTTGTGGTTAACAATGTCTTAAGAAAGACTTACTGTATTAATAATAATATTGAGCATAAATGTGTTAAAAAGGTTTAATTATGAAGCTATATAGTTGATGCTTTATTTTCATATTACTCAGTAAGAAATGTACTTAAATATATTGTCATTTGTTTTTTTAGTTTTTATGAATTTTAAGTTTAAGGTTCCTCGTCTCTCTTCCACTTTTCAGCTTCCTCTACCTCTGCTTGCGCGTTTGCACACAACAATGCTTCCTCGTTTGAGGTCGGGGGCTGACGTATGAAATCTTTGTATAACTCACCCGACCTCAGAGCGTTAGTGAAGATGACCACAACAGATTTATCATCCAGGTCATCTACCTTCACAGACTGATCTCTCTAGCGGACTAGGAAATCAACCACGCTCTCCTGATGGGCCTGCTTGATTCCCAAGAGGTGAGAGACACTCCTTTTGGAATCCTTAGAGGTAGCGAAACGTGCCACGAATGCACGAGCCAATTCTCGAAAGTTCCGTATGCTTCCATCGGGTAAAGAAACATACCATTCCCGGGCTGGCCCATCCAGGCCGGGTCACCGAGAATCCTCTACACTTGATGGCATCATCATATCCCATCATAACCATATAAGCTACGTACCTGGAGACATGATGCTGAGGGTCGGTTTTTCCTCGGTAGGCCTCAATGTTGCATGGCATGTACCCTTGGAGCAGAGGTGCCTCCATTATCTGGCGAGTAAAGGGCTCAGGAATCCTGACCTCGTGGTTGAGGTTGCCCCTTCCATCCATCTCTCTTCTGAGCTCGTCCAGTCTCCTCCTGAGGTCATCATTGTTGTGGCCTGCCTAGGCGCGCAGTGGAGATCGGCGATCCCTTCGAGCCTGCCTATTCGCTTTGAACTCGTCTCAGAGATCTCCCCTATGTGCACTGCGGCGGTGGAACGAAACGGCGGCCGAAGATGCCTCCTCACTGCGATCTGCCCTAGAGGAGAGCCTCTCATGAACAGAAACTCTTTGTTCACTCATCCGATTCACCACAGAGATCCTTGGGGTAACCCTAGAATGGTGGGAGCAATGAGACCTGGCCAGTGGAGAATTCCCTCGATGATGAAGAGAGACTTCCCCCTCCCGCGGGACTATGG